GGCAGAGAAGGCATCAGACTTCCGTTTCAGATACCAGACTAAACCAAACGAGAAATAGTCGTCGAGGGTGGTAAGGGCAAACTTGTATCCATTGAGTGATAACGACGGATATTCGACAAGATCCATGTGAATTAAGTCGAGGGGATGATCCGCACGACTGTCAGACGCAGGAAATGCATCGCGACGAGACTTCCCGAATTTGCATCCATCACAGGGAGTATCCCTGGTTGGTGCCGAGATTTTATCCAGGACGCCTTTGACATTGCCAGGCAGTTGAACAACTGATTTTTTCCCGGCGTGTCTGAAGCGACGGTGCCACAAGGTATATGGATCGTCGGATTTGACCGACATTAATGTTCCTGGCTTAATCTCGCTGGTCCTTGTGAGGACTTCAGCTTCTAGCTAATATAAACTTGACGACTTTTCATATTCGCCTTCCATTAAAACTGTCCGCTTTGTTGGGTCTGACCCGCGGAGTAACCTAAACTTCTTGCCATCCATCTCAATACGGTGACCGTTATTGAGTGGCATTCTGGGCGCAAAGAACTGTTCTGCTGCTTCCGGTATGTATAATACGGTTTCTAACCGGATATGCTGAATTCGTCCATCTGTGAGACGATGTTGCAGAGCGATTTCACCATGACCTTTGATTTCGATAGTGTGACCTTTGCCGGCTATGTGTGCATGACCTGGCTTAGGGAATTCATGGTACCGAATAAAGTCAGTTTTGTACGGTGTGACATGTGTCGTGCAACCGCTGTCGACCATCCACTTAGACTTGACACCCGTAGCATAAAGAGAAGCAGAGATGGATTCCTCTTCAATCTTAGCTACTACAGGTACATCGACTATTCGTATTGTATTTACAGTCTGCGTGGTCATTGCGGTATTGTCCTTCGCTTTGCCCTTTCCCTTCCCTTTTTGCACTTTCCGCCACCCTGCTGCTGCTGCTGCGTGTTGTTGCCGTTACCAGAACTCGAGCCAGAATTCGCCGGCTTTGTGTCCCAGTGCTGCTCCGTCGTGTGATTCTTGCGACCACACTTCTCACATTTCTTGTCAAGGAGAGGCGCCTTCGAGACGCGCGCAATCTGAGTGCGATTTGCGACGCGGCGCTGTTCCTCCTCGACGATCTTGGACTTGATGAGCGCCGCTGTGAGCAGCGTAACATCAGTTTGCGT